TTATCATTCACCATCACTCCACTTAAGAACCCTTCGGAAACGTTTCACCCACACAGTAGTCTCCTTCAGTCGCGTACAGAGGCAGCAGCAGTAGAGATGTAAAGACGATCGACTACTGTGTATGCGAACGTTTCGGAATAAATACCTAACTGTTGCACATATGTCTTACTTATCAACAAACAATACTTAACTAGCGGGATGACTATACAAAATATAAGTTGCCCCTAGACGTTATTATTTTTTGACTATTCCGCAAATTCAGTTAGATTTCGGAATGATCGGAGACTAAAATTGCTACGCCATTACACCAGATACATTGATACTAATCTAATATGGCTTTTGAGCTCTGTCATGACTCCTGGTGTATGTTTTCCATTGGCTGACAACTTCTGGCGTTCAAATCGGTGCTTGGGGGATATGGGGATGTAGTACTGACCTTGGCCTTTCAGAAATAGGGCATGAAGAACCCGTCATCTCTCCTACTTACCTCTGGGAATTTCTATTTAATTGACCTATTGCATCAGTGCATAGATCCTGACGAACAGCTGGGGGTTAATACGAAAGGCATAGTGATTTGTACTCTACTTGTTATGTATATATATATATATATAATAATATATATATATATATATATATATATATATATATATATATATATAATATATATATATATAATATATATATATATATATATATATATAATCACATATAAAGATAGGTAGAGAGGGAGAGAAAGTGTTACTGGTATTTCAGAATAGCATTTTGCAGGGACCTGTAAGCAGTGTAAGAACTGCTACCGCTGCTGTCGAAGCCGCTACCGGAGCTGCTGCTGCCGTAGCCGCTACCGGAGCTGCTGCTGCCGTAGCCGCTACCGGAGCTGCTACCGGAGTACCCAGTACCGGAGTCGAAGTCTCTGTGCTTGTATAACATGAAGGACGGAGGGCGTAAGGGAAAGATGGAGGAAGGGATAAAAGAAAGGAAGGAGAGAGGGAAGGATAAAGGAAGGAAGGAAGGAAGGAAGGAAGGAAGGAAGGAAGGAAGGAATGAAGGAAGGAAGGAAGGAAGAAAGAAGACGGAATTAGTATCGTATGGATGGTTCTTAAATGGGATAATTAGAACCATGAAAATTATTTACAACAGACACTACAGATTTAAATTGTGTAAAAAAAACTATTTACAAAACAGTGAATTAGAAGCATGTAAAAAAAATACTTTTCTGTGTGTGTTTTGTGTGTGTGTGTGTGTGTGTGTGTGTGTGTGTGTGTTGTGTGTGTGTGTGTTTGTGTTTTTTTGTGTGTGTGTGTGTGTGTGTGTGTGTGGGGTTGTGTGTGTGTGAAATGTTGTGTGTGTGAAACTCACCTATTTGTACTCACCTATTTGTGGTTGCGGGGGTCGAGTCCTAGCTCCTGGCCCCGCCTCTTCACCCGGTTTTCTACTAGGCCCTCTCTCCCCGCTCCATGAGCTTTATCACAACCTCGTCTTAAAACTGTGTTTTGGTTCCTGCCCCCACTACGTCATTTTCTAGCTTATTCCACTGCCTTACAACTCTATGACTGAAGAAATACTTCCTACTATCTCTCTGACTTATTTGTGTCTTCAACTTCCAATTGTGGCCTCTTGTTTCTGTGTCCCCTCCCTGGAACATCCTGTCTTTGTCCACCTTGTCTATGCCATGCAGTATTTTATATGTCGTCATCATGTCTCCCCTGACCCTCCTGTCCTCCAGTGTCGTCAGGCCGATTTCCCTTAATCTTTCTTCATAGGACATATCCCTTAGCTCTGGAACTAACCTTGTTGCAAACCTTTGTACTTTCTCTAGTTTCTTGACGTGCTTTATCAAGTGCGGGTTCCAAACAGGTGCTGCATACTCCATATGGGCCTGACATACACGGTGTACATGTCTTGAATGTTTCCCCTTACTAAGGTGTCGGAATGCTATTCTCAGGTTTGCCAGGCGCCATATGCTGCAGCAGTTTATCTGATTGATGTGGGGCTTCCGGAGACATGCTCGGTGTTATACTCACCCCAAGATCTTTCTCCTTGATTGAGGTTTGCAGTCTTTGGCCACCAGCCTATACTCTGTCTTGGCCCTTCTGTGCCCTTCCCCTATTTTCATGACTTTGCATTTGGCAGGATTAAATTCGAGAAGCCATTTGCTGGACCAGGTGTCCAGTCGGGTCCAGGTCTCTTTGAAGCCCTGGCCTGGTCCTCATCAGATTTAATTTCTCCTCATTAACTTCACATCATCTGCAAACAGGGACACATCTGAGTCTAACCCTTCCGTCATGTCGTTACATATACCAAAAATAGCACTGGTCCTAGGACCGACCCCTGTGGGACCCCCCCTCGTCACGGGTGCCCACGTGATACATCATTACGAAACCATGACTCGTTGTTGCCTCCCTGTCAGGTATTCTCTGATCCATTGCAGTGCCCTTCTCTGTTATATGCGCCTGATGCTCTAGCTTCTGCACTAATCTCTTGTGAGGAACTGTGTCAA